AGCAGGAGGGCCTGATCTACCTAATGCTCATGTTCCATAAGAGCATATTTACTTGGAAACTTTCTTTCTGTGTTTGACTCAAAATCCTTTTCACAAGGTGTTTTTTACTAATTGATATTGGGAAGGTAAAAAGTTCCATGAGGTCAAACAAAATATTTCGGACTATTCATGTTATTTTCTTGGAGAGTAGAGTCTAATAATCTCCTTTCTTTATACCATGATGTGCATTGGAATATTTGGCTTTATCTCTTCTAAACTTCTAGGTTGCTCTGGGGCTCTCTAGATTATGATGCACCTTTTCAGGATCGGATTTGGTTATTCTAGGGTTCTGTTTTGGATTTATAGGATATTTTGGGGATTATTTTGGTTTTTTTAAAAAATATTTTTCTCAGATATCCAGTTACTATAAGATATCCTAGAAATGTTTTGGAAAATAGAAATCGCAGTTGATTTAATATTTGCAAGTGTGCGCAGTGTCTATAAAGAGGGCTGTAATTTTTAATGTTCGAGGAAAGTTTAATAGGTAGATAAGTATATGGATTTGGTAATATATCTCTTCTATCGCTTTTTCTCTTCATCCTTTGTTTAGCCGATTCTTCTCTCAGGTAAGGAATAGTTGGTCACTTTATATTGACTCTGAGTTTGTCGGTTTGGTACTTTCTAAGATTATTAAATTTGTTAACAATCTTAATTTTCATGGAAGTCTGTTAATCTTTATTTAAATTTTCTTATATTAATGCATGATATGCATCTTTTGATGTATGCTAAAATGTATATCCTTAGATTTATTATCATTATTATTTTCTTGGCAATCAGATTGTAATATTTTGTAATGTTTTGTTGATATGAAAATCTAAGCATAAATTCTTAATCATGTACATATTCTTGATCACATCCTATCAAGTTATACTCGGATAATTAGCAAACCATATACGTAATGATGTGTTGACGCTTCTGCAGGGAATTATTTTGAAAGAAAATGGTAAAGTTGGAGAGGCAGAGAGAATGCTTATACAGGTTAGTATATTTTTATCTATTTCTACTTGCACAAACATAAATAACTTATTGATGTAGGACACACGTTCTCAATTAAAAACCACTAGTAAATAAGGAAATGTTGCAGCAATGTTTTACCAAAAGTGTTGAATTCAGTAACTCTGAATTAAATTGAAGAGCTTTTATGATTTTCTGTTATAGGAAAGATACACACAAAAATGGAAACCAACTAAGACTTACAGCCTACCTTTCTATTTTAATATATTGACTTTAATTTATAGCCTAGAATAGTTAAAAAATCTGTAAACTAATTTCCCAAATCTTTAACGAATCTTCCAACAAATATGCCAGAATATAATTCTTAAATCTGCTGGAAAGTTATCTAATTTCCCAAATGCCTCAACAGATCTGCTGGAAATTAATTTCTCCAAATCTCTTAACACTCCACAAGTTGGCTAAAAGATGTCTTCCGTTGCAAACTTGCTAATCAACTTGTCAATTTCTTTGGCAATCCCTTCGTAACTATGTCTGGAATTTGATAGGTGATTAGGATGCACAGCATGCATATCGGTTCATTATCAATCTTTTCCTTAGTGAAGTGTTATCCACTTCCATGTTTGGTTATATCACATAGAATGGGTTATGTGCAACTGAGATTGTTGGTTTATTGTCATAATAGACCTTTATGGGTGATAAAGAATTAGATGTCTTGAATAAAATAGTTTCCAAATCCAAATCCAGGATAAGTTCATAGGTTTCAAATCACTATAATATAGAAGGGTGAAATTTTTATCAAAGACAAAGTTAATATACAAAGAGAACGAAATGTGGTTCTGTGCCTCTATGTATGAACAAGTAATTCAAATTTACTCAGAGGTGACACAAAGCAGAAAATTGTAATTTGAATAACCTTCTCTCTGTCTCTCTCTCTCTCTCCCATTTTCTTCCACACCATTTCACTGGATAAATGCAGCTACATGATTTCTTTCGTCAATATTGCAATGTCATGCTGCACATCCCAACTTGAGATGTTTACCTTAATCCAAACATACATGAAAGGGTGAAGCTGAATTGTTGACATTATTATTTTGCAGGCCCGATTTTTTGCACCAGAGAAAGCCAAGGCTCTTGTGGATCGTTACTCGAGAAAATGACAATTTTTTGCTAAAATGCTTGTTCATTATTAAGGTGAGAGATTTCAAACCAAAATCATACATGTCAATAATATATATTTTACGTAAAAACCATGTGTGGTAATTCATACTGAAGATAATATTTAAAATATATATTTATAAAATAAAAATTTAGGAAAAAATTTCATATAGAAAGCATAATTTTTTTGAGAAATAATTTCTGTTTACATACTTTAAATGGTTTTATGAAGGTAGGATCTACTTATTGTACTTCAGATGATTTGATGAAGATAGAATATTGTGTACTTAACATAATCAAGGTAGTTTTGTTTCTGTATTTCGAATTCTAAGTATGAAATATGTGTCAGGAAAATATTGTGGTGGATGAGGAAAAGCAATCTCAGCCTAGGGCCATCCTGGGAATTTAAAATAGCAGTCAGAGCAGATGCAGATTTCAAAGAGTACATATTTTACTATTAGTTTTATAATAAAAATAATATTCCAATTATATATGATATCAATTTATATTATGTTTCTGTACGTTATAGTTGCTAGTGATACCTAATGTGTTAGCTCGGTGACCTCGAGTTGGTTCGATCTTGACTTTTGTAAGTTTTTTTATTCTAATCTTGGACTTTGTAGGCATTTGTTAATCTGTACAAGTAGATATTATGATATTATATATAATCATCCCATCAAATTCTATTACATCATTTAATTGCATTTCATTTTATATTCCTTCTTACTGAACATAACCTTGAATTGGGAAACCGTATGAGCTCTGAATCTACTAACAGGGCAAGAATAACAAAACATTACGTTATGAATCTGTATTATTTTTGAGAGAGTAGTCCAACAAGATTTCCTTTTATTTTAGAATCTCTTCTAATTATTAGATTATATATATTTACATTCACATATATATACCCAAATAAATTTGTTCGTAGGTGCATAACTGCAGCCAAATATATAATTATACACATACGGTGAATGATCACACCTGAATTTCTTTTTTGGATTTATGGGTTAGATTCTAGATATCTATATATACATGTAAATGTGTGTGGTGTACAATATTCACACCTGAAATTTGGGTTTATGGGTTTGACCATAAATAAGAACCTACCATATTTAGGCAGGTTAATAAATACTTATACCCACCTTTTTGTTTCTTTGTTCAGAGAAAGAGCTTTCCATGTCTCGTGCAAAAAGCTTTTTCTTCTCTTCATTTTCCATCACATTACATCCATCCAAGATCATGCATAAATTCACATATCCACTAACTTTCTTTTTAATTTCCCTTTACATTTCTTCTCATCATATAGATTTATACTAATAGTAGTTTATTAGGATTTTTGCTGATATATACACTATGCATCAAGTACCACCATTGAAAAAAATTCTCAGCCTGAGGCGGTCTGAGTCTAAACGTAATCGAAAATCTTTCAGTATGTCTCCCAAGTCGATTCATAAATTCTTGGTGGAGTATAAAGAAAGTTTTAAAGAATCATTGTTGGTTGGAGAATTATCAGATGGCAGCCAACATAAACAAGCGCATGTTCCAAAAGGGTCCTTGGCTGTGTACGTGGGGCGGGAACAACATAGGTTTGTGATTCCAATGACATACTTGTCGATGCCAGAATTTAGGGTTTTGATGGAATCTGTGGCTGATGAATTTGGATATGAACACGAGGGTGGACTTCAATTCCCGTGTGAAGAGGAAGAATTTCAGGAGATATTGCATAGATGCGTTTCAAGACAAAAAATCAAGTGCAAGAGCAAAAGCAAAAGCAAGAATATATGACTACATAATTTAGAAGGTTTAATCCTCATTTTGTACCATGTAAACTAATTTTGTTTATCAAATTGATCAATATATTTTTTTTGAAACACAAAATCTACTGTGAATATGTATGTATGTATATATATATATATATATATATATATATATAATTTATCCACACACAGATTTGAATTCTTGTGTGGATAATCCGTTTTAATCCATTTGTAATTGGGATTATCTATAAGACTTGGATCATTCCAAAAATGCCTGCATATAAGACAACATACACACACACACACATGTATATGAGTGTGTTTGTTCGCTTGGCAAAAAAGATCTTAAATCTTTGAGTCTGTAATCTGAGAAACAATACATAACTTTACATATTCATCTATGTATATATTTCTATAACATATATTTTTTCAATAAAAAAAAAAATAGTAATTTGTCTTCTCCTTAATTGGGGATTATTCAAATGAGAGAGATTAATAGAGGTTTAATTTTTAACCCTCAATTTTGTTCGACACATTTTAAATTTCCCACATTTAGGTTCAATACTATGCCCTTAGTTGGATGTCATAACAATAGTGTTTTCAATTGGGTAGGAATCGATTGAGTTCAATTTAAATTTTTATGAATTTTATTTTTTACAGAATAGATATAGAATATAACTAGCATTGTATTATCTTTAATAATATTATTCAAATTGATACTTATAATATTTAAATTAAAACTGTTTAAATAAACTCCACCGTCAATATCTTTAGATATGACAAGTTCAAATGAATCATGAATTTTCAGTTCCTTTAACCACCTAGAAAAGTGAAAAATAGAGGATCTAGATTTATATTTATACTGCATACAGAACCCAGATTTTCATGTATCGAAACTCCACGTTATAAAATGAGTATTGTAATAAGCCCCTTAAAAACACAAGAATTCTTAACAAATCCATAACTTCAGTTCAAACATAAGATTCATTTAAAATTTAAATGAATTAGACTGTTCATTTATCCCCCAGTGAAATTGATTTGGTATTTTAAAAAGAGGAAGGATTGAAATATTTTAAGGTTATACAAATTCCCATTTCTCTTAAATGCTATTTAACTTCTCAAAATTCAGGTTTCTTGCATAATCTTTTGCTATCCATCCGAGGGAACCTTTCTGGAACTTGAAGCAGTCGTACTATGAATAGAGAAGGCATTCCCCAAGAGAACTTTGACTTAAGAGAATAGTATCTATATAAAGCACTATATACACAGACCATTTCCAGGAGACTGACCAACAGGTGACCAACATTGATTTCCCTGTGGAATGCCCCTGAAGAATTTACTCCATACGGTACAAAATCCTGCACCTGAAAAGGCCAAACTTTACCCGACCTTAGAGAATAGTATTTACATAGAGCACCACATCCACAGACCATTTCCAGGAGACTGACAAACAAATGATTAACATTGATTTTCCTGTGCAATGCACCAAAAAACCTTGCACCTGCACCGCAAAAAATTGATTCCATACTGTACAAAATCTTGCACCTGAAAAGGCCAAACTTATCGCAACCTTACACCTTTCTCCCCCAGGTATCCTTGTCTTTCCGGAGTTTAGGAAGTCAGCAATCCCTCATTCTCGATGTCACAGGAAGCTACAGATCATAGCCTGAAAAGTTATTGAGATGATCACAAAACTTCATTCAAAATTTGAACCAGGATATTGGCCATACTTCATCCTTCTTTCTTTAAAGAAAAGCCAAATTCATCCTTCACTCCCATTCCTGGCTAAGATTTATTTCTTCCTGTGCTGATGATGGATTGGTCTTGTGCTGCACCTGTTGGAATGCAAAAACTTAAGAAGTGAAAAAAAAACCATCAAATGTTAAAGGAAAAAAAAAAGCCAAAAAACAAAACAAAAGCAAGCAGAAACATCATATGGTCCTATGTTATATAATGACAGATTTAGAAACGTATTATTGGGGAAAAACACAAAAGATACCCCATATTAAATTATATTAAGACTCTTAAACTTTGAACTTTTTTTTTTAAGTACTTCGCCTTTTAACTATTACAAAATGATTAAATAGACTGTTTGTTAGGGCTTGTCAAGACTGTTTCTGCATTCAAGTTCAGATAAACACCACTAATATTTTTGAACTTAAATGAAGCTAATAAACCACTATACAAATGGATAAAATATACCCAAATTCCCGTAAATCTATATTTTTTCTAGCCTCACAAATCTGCAATTGCCCAAGACAACAGTACAGGATCTGTCTGACCCAAGGTTGTACACCCTGGCCAGACAACTTTAGCATTGCAACAGGCAAAGCCATGACCTAGCCCTGACCAATTGTCATGCAGCTTGGGCTTATCTGCTCCATGAAAGGAAGCCTAGTCATTCATTGTGCAATTGGCTCATTTTCATGCAACTTTTGCTTGGCCAATCATTGCATAACCAGCCAAATATTATTTTTTAATTGTATTATTACTATATTAAATTATTTTGTAAGCCATGTCATAACATTTATTAATTTTATCACAAATCGCTGTCATTCTTTGAAAAGAAACAATCTACTGTATTATTTCTTATAATATCTCTGGTAATTCTATATACTCATAAAACCTTTCTAACGTACCACTGAAAAGACAATATCTTTTCAACCAAATGCTATAATAATAACTTTCTTAAGTACAAAAACAATAAATCTTGCAAAATTTAGACCCAAATAAAGGAGCTAATTACCACGGATGTCTTTCAAAAAATATTCATGTCATGTAGGTATGTAAGAAACGATGTAACTTCTATCAGAAAAAGAGCAGAGAAGAACTTCAACAGAGCAAGAGAAAAGAACAAAATATTGATGTTTATGCATTAGCAAATACATAACTAATATAACTCAATATTAAAATATAAAATGTGAAATTACAATTGTTTGCTCCCCATTAACCCAGGAAGAAAAGGACAAGAATATTTGCAACTTAACATGGGAGCGTCGTCATGTTTTTCCTATCTGCCAATGACATTTTCTTCTTCACTAGGAATATTTCTACTAATTGATAAATATAGATAGCTGAACTTTCCCAAGTAGTCCATTTTCTTCTCCGCAAGGACATTTCTTTTTACTACTTCCCTTTCAAGAATAGAAGTCTATTTAAAATGAAATTGTAAATTGTAGGAAACAGGAATTTTGGAATAAATTATTTCACTATCAATTAAGAATGGACATCTAGCTGACTATCTATTTATATAAATCTAATTTATGAAGCAGTTTAACACAACTAAGATCAGGAAAATGCATCATCTGTGGTCAACAGAAATGAATCTCATGAAGATAACCAATCCTACAACTGATAACATATGATTCAAATCTATAAGTTTCACACATATGATACAATCAATGTAGAAAGTGACAAACTAGTGAAAATAAAAAATATAACTATGATGAATAACTCTGTTTACCTTTTCTTGCCTTAGATGGCTTGATATCGCCAGTTACCACTGAAGTTGGTGAGAGAGATCTTTTGGGAGGCACAAGTTTTGAAGATTTTTCTGACTTATTGGAAGAAATCAGAGATGAACAAAGAATAGCATCAACTGCTTCACGTTGTTTCTTCCTCTTTGAAATTAAATTTTCAGAAGTTCCTACTTGACTAAAAGCAGTACCACTTTTTACCTCTTTATCCCTGTGCCTTCCTTCACTTGAAGTATTTGAAACTTCTGAACCTCGTTGATTGCTATCACACATGAACGACCTCTCTCTTCCCTTTGCCCCACCTAGTTCCAAGTTTGTAGGGCTATCATTCCACGAAACCTTCTTTCTCTTTTTCCCATTACTATGTTCCAAATTTCCTTTCTTTCCATGACAATGGTTGCCTTTATTTTTGTCTTTAGTTTCACTATCAGCTATGTCTTCTCTGGTGCCTTCTGACTTTACATTGTTGGATGTTGTATTCTCACCACATGCATCCCTGGTTGAAAGTTTTTTCTTCCTTAAGAGCGCTGTTTCCTCTCTGGCTTTTTGTTTATTCTGAACATCTCCCCTTTTTGATGAGAAAGTCATATCACCTCCTGCAACCATCCCACTACTCGGAGCCACACTGTCAATATCTTCTGTTTCACTCAACACTGCTACTTTTGTTCTACGCTTATTATGTTTAGCAAGCTGGCTATCAGCCTTTTCAACATACTTAAAATGCTTTGAATGATATCCAAAATTCTGCAAGGCAGGGTTTTTCCCTTTAAACATGGATGAATACGGCCTTTCGACTGATATGATCAAATTTCTATCTTTGGCATCTTTCACAAGAGCAGCCCAGTTATGGTTTGTTTGCAAGGTCCGTGCATTACCCAAAATCCAAAGAGAAAGCTTTGCCCTTGTCAAAGCCACATTCATTCGTCTTACATCAGCAACAAATCCAATATTACTTGAGTTGACCCCAGGGGGAGCAGAGCATGAGCCTGCAGCTCTAACAGTGGACAAAATTAATACATCAACTTCCCGGCCTTGAAAACCATCCACAGTATTAAATTCCATATCCCCTATAACAGAGGATCCAAATGTACTAATGAACCGGGAACGCAAAACAGAAAGTTGAGACTTATATGGAGTTATAACACCAATTCTTCCACCAACAAATTCAGAAGGGTACCTGATACAGAAGCGTAACAAGCTGAGATGGAATGTGTTTAGCATCAGAAAGTGTTTTGTAATGATTTTGTAATTTGTGTAGTGTTTACTTTATATGGCCCAATTAAGACATATATAGGCTATTTAGAAACATTACCTAGATTTATAAGTTATCTTTTACTCGTATCTTTTTTGTTCATTTTCTTTAGGATGAGATGGCCTCTTACAAGTGATAGCTAGAATAACATTACAATTTATTTTATATTCATCCTTCAGGTGCTAGGTTCGATGGCTTCAAGGAGGTGGCTACCATAAGTTTCCAACTTGTGCCGTCTCATGAGTCTACAAGTTGCTAAGGTTGATATGGGCTCTTTTGGCTTTTTCTGTTGCCTATATAAGAAGATTGGATATAATGAAGATAACAATTGTTATTGGAATAAAATTGAAGCATTTCCTCCCTAAATTAAGGTTTCTCTTCCTTTCATCAACTCATTTCTTTTCTTTTCTTCCTCTTTTCCCTCTCCCTTCTTCCCTTTCTCTTTTCCCTCTTCTGATCTTAATCTCTTCTCCTTCTACTTCAAAACTTTTCTAAAACAGCACTGCTGTTATTTGTTTACTAGTGATTGTGAAATTGTCCAAGTGTCTTCTACATCAGTACCTATACTCACATCATAATGAATCAATCGTGTATAGGAACAAGAACGCATGACAAAATTATAAATAATGATTAAGAGAATGAAGTAAAATAAGTCACCTCTTCTTGAAAAAGCTGAGCAATTGAATTGCAGCTTCCGCTTCATGCTCGTTACAGAGAGACGATGCACCAGAATGTTTGCCACGTAGCTCCTGTCCATCTACAACATCATAGAAGATATAGGGCCCTAGACAGCTAGTCTCATGGAATGGTGCTGACTTGCTTGACATTCCCTCTCCATTCAGCAACTTGCTGTCATAGAAATGCAAAGAAGGGAACCGGCATATCTCCGGATGCATCCTATACTGCCAATAGAACAATTTTTAACGAAACAAAGAACCATTGAATATCTTCCTAACCCTTGAATACATTATTTCAGTAATTGAAGTTGCAAAAATGGAACTAGCCAAAAATGATATTCACTGCCTATACTTAATTCAGTTAAAGTAATTAAGAGATGCACATGCTTGTGTAAGTTCTATAACCAACATTCTCACCTAATTTATAAAACCAGACAATTCAAATATCTAAACAATTCATTAGTAGTAAATCATCCTGAACAGAGTAAATGTATCTCGTGAGCATTAAAAATTCAAGTAAATAGATGAAGACATGTAATTCAACATATGACCACCCAAATCTGCACCATGTCCTGAAAATAACAAGTCAAGAGACAAGTGTTACAAGGAACTTATCTTTCTTTAGAAATAGGAAGCTGATGACGTGATCTCTTTAATTAAGCTTATTTGAATATGTTGGATTTCCTCATAATCCAGACATTAAAATTTGACCTTTTGAATCTTCAGGCATTAATACTTGCAAATCATATTTTGCTATTTTGACTCATAATCATGCTTCTCATAATGGTATCATCGATGAGTGCTTTTGAATTCTCGTAACAATATCTTTAATAACTGCTTTTGGAAGGTTCCTTCTCCTTCTAAGTTAAGTTTTTGTTTAGACTGCAGATTTGTGCAGGCTATCATGATCGCATATTGAGTCGCACATGTGATGTCCTTCAAAGTCACAGAGACTACTAATCATCTTTTTCTGCATTGTAATTTGCCTGGAGAGATTTGTATGGTTCTGATACTTTGAGTTTTTTCTTGAGTGTTTCCTGGCACAATTGATGTTTTCTTTCTTCTGTCCTTTCGCATTTGAATACAATAACAGAGACTGAAGCTCTTTAGTGTGGTGTTTCCTTTACTGGGTAGTAGGTGATTTTTGGCTTAAGAGACATTAGAATTTTCAAGGATCATTCTTCACTATTTATGATTCTCTAGAATAAGTTATCTTTTGTGGCCTTCCTTTAGGTCAAGGCACAGCAAACTTTAAAGATCTATCTCCTACCTTAGATAGAGATTGGTTAGCTATTCTTTCCCAAGAATAGCTGGCCTTTCTCCTTTTCTGTACTTCTCTTTCTTCTTCTTAGTGAAGATATCTAATCCTCCATCTTTTTTATCATTCTTCCTCGTTGATAATGTGTCCTTATCTATAAAGAAAATAAAGAAAAAGAAATCAGAGATATTGCATTTACTATCTAGACATGGATGTAGTAAGTTCATCTAAGTTGGGGATTTATTTTGAAGTTTTAGCATTCATTAATTTAGCATGAGCCTCATTAGCTGATTAAAAGTAAAGTTTTCCTTAATGAGCCAACTGATGAACAAGAAAAATACAGGGATGAGTAAAAGAAAAAGAAAATGAAATTAATGCTTTATGTAACCTCGGAGAGAATAAAAGTGGATGGATTAAAGGGCTGAAAGTCGCAAAGGAGGCCAGAGAAAAAGATATATTTGATGATGACTCCACTGCTACAGATTTTTCATTTGAAGAATTAGATGAGGAGAAAGAGGAGGATACAATTGAGGAGTTATGCCTAGAGACAACAATGAGCAGCATCAAGGAAGTGGTGGGTTGGTGATTTACGGTGACCCAAATAAATGCACTACACCTGAGGACGACAGGCAGCACTTTCCAAACACTGATGGCGCAATCCCTTGGGTCTCCCAGTAAGCATTCTATCCTCAAACCTTTCCCAACTTACATGTTCTCATTTGATTTCCAGGAAAAGGTATACTGTCCAATCGCCAAAGTAAACGTGAATATGGTTTTCAACCAGCAATCGGGAGAGTGAAGTACTATTAGGAAGTTACATTGCTATAAAGCCGATGTTGATAACAAATGATCTAGAAACCCCAAGCAACCTCATAAGTATTTTGGACTTCAGACCAGTGGCTAAGTTGAAAAGAGAGGTACTGGCGGTAATATCCTCAAGGACATATAAGCAGAGGACAAAAATGCAGTGTCAGAAATAAAAAAAGGTAGTCCAAAGAAGAAGTGCAGCGCGAAGAGAGGAACAGGTGTGTCGATAGGTATATTAGAGTGGTAAGCTGGATATCAATGGTTTAAGCAATTCCCTAAAGAGAAAGAAGATCAAAGAGGTTATTGTTAGGGTGAGTCTAGACATAGTGATGTTACAGGAAACAAAAATAGAAGAGATTAACACTATCCTAACACAGAGGGTGTGGAAGAGTCGGTCTAAACAGTTGTCAGTTTTACTATCATGGGGCATCAGGGAGCATAGTAATCATTTGGGACACTAGAGTAGCCACAGGGGCAGATAGAATAGAGGGCACTTCTCACTTTCAGTACTCCTCAATGTCAATAGGAAGCATTTTTGGTGGTTTACCATTGTGTATGGGTCTACGAACTACAGGCTTTGAGCTTATGGACGAGTTGCCATATCTTTCAAATCTATACAAGTTGTTTTGGCGTTTAAGAGGGAGATTTCAATGCATGTAGATTTTCACATGAGAGATTGGAAGGAAATGCGATGATCACATCAACGAAAAAATTTAATAATTTCGTAGAGGAATATGAATTGAGAGATCTCTTCTTACCTAATAGCAGATTCACTTGGTTGGTTGATAGACGAGGGATTGTTTCATCATAGCTTAAAATGTTTCTAGTCTCTAAGATCTATTACGATAGCTTCCCTGATTTTGTATAGGAATTTCTCCCAGGGCCCCTGCATCGGATCATGTCTCTATTGTCCTTGAATTCCAGCATACTAAAAAGGGACCTTCTCCTTTCTGGTTTAAGAACATGTGGCTCCAACACCCAGATTTTAATCAAAGAGTGAGAGAATGGTAACAGTAAGACAATGAAGTTGGATAGCAGGGACAAAAATTTATTAGCCAACTGTAGTACTTGAAGGAGAAATTAGAATCATTGAATAAGAGAAATTTTAGAATGTCCACTTAAGAAAAACAAAAATTTTTGAGCTGATGAAGAATCTAGATAAACTAGCGGTGGAGAACAACCTTTTGGAGAGCCAAAAGGAGACTTTAATAGGCTTAAGAAAGGAGTTAAAAGAGGTGCTGTTGAAAGAATTGCGAAGTTGGAGACAGAAAGCTAAGATTAAATGGGCAAAGGAGGGGGATGCAAAGACTAGACTATACCATAGGATGGTAAATGGACATAAGAGGAAAAGCATGAATAAAAATTGGAATTTGATAAAATGGGAGGATATAGAGGAGAATTGATGCAATAAAAAGTCAGAAAACTCAGTACTTCGAAAATTATACATGGACAAGGTGAACAATAGGCATTTCCTTGAAGGTCTTGAATGGGCATCAATTAGTGTTCATAAGGCAAATTGATTTGAAAGAAATTTGAGGAAGAGGAAATAAGGAGGGCGGATGTGATCTATGAAGTCAAAAAGCCCCAGCCAAAACGGATTTTCTATAGAGCTTCTCAAGAAATTTTGCAACATTATAAAAACATTTAATTAGAGTTTTTGAGGAATACTATTTGAATGGCATCATATGTTAGAGCATGAATGCTGCTTTCATTACTTTGTCCAAAAAGGATAAGTCTATGAAGGTTCTGATTCTCGCCCAATCAGTTTCGTGAAAAGTGTCTATAAAATCATCACTAAGGTCCTGTCTTTAAGAATCTTTGAAATTTGGATGATACAATTTCACTAAATCATAGTAGCTTCATAAGGGGTAGACAAATCCTTGACATAACTCTAGCTGCGAACGAGGTAGCTGATCATATTCGTAGATCTGAGGAAAAAGACTTAATTCTCAAATTGGACATCGAGAAGACCTATGATAGGGTTCACTGGAGCAAGGGTGACGAGTGCAGGATTTTTCATCCCAGGTGGAGAAGGTGGATCCAGGGTTGCTTATCATTAATTTCTTTCTCAGCAATTATTGACGGAAAACCCAAAGAGTGGTTCCAGGCTTCAAGAGGATTGAGGTAGGCGAATCCTCAATCCTCTTTCCTCTTTTACCGTAGTGGTAGACGTGTTGAGTAGGATCCTATCTGGAGCAAATGAGTGAAATAAAGTGAAGGGATTAGTGATGGTGAAGGATAGGATAGAAGTTTCACAACTATAGTTTGCTGAAAATACAATATTGTCTTTGCAACATGATGATAGATCAAATAGAAATGCATTCACTCTTATCCAAGTTTTTAAATATATCTCAGAACTAAAAAATCAATTTGCGAAGAAGTAGTCTTACAGGAATTATTATGGAGTATCAAATCGTAGTAAGCCTAGCAAAGTCAATA